GAACTCTTGGTTTAAAGACAGAAATACAAGTGGTTGGGCGTGTTGAGAATCATCTCACTTGGTTGAGAAGTTGCATCATTCCTGGTGAACGACAAAATGTCAACACTCATACAAAAGGATCATGTAGCATTTACCAACTTATGTCATCTCTGGCGCAGACAGGAAATTCGACTGGCAGCAGCAATTAGCTCCATCCTGCTTTATGGATTTGAGATATGGCCATTGAAAATGGGAAATATGATAGGACTAGCTGTCTTTTATCACAAGTATCTGTATTTTGACTCATATGCTATGTGCTTTAATGTGGCGAATAAAATTGAGGTTAAGCGTCGGCTGCTAGGTGTAAGAGGGTGAGTCAATCGATGTGTTTGTGAAGGTGAACCTATTCAGATAGCTAGCAGATGTGTTGCACATGCGGAGCCATCGCTCTCCTCATCAAGCAATGTTAGCTGACACAGAATTAAGTTGAGAAAGAGTTAAGAGTGATCACAAACCAAAACCTGACATCAGTCTGTAAAATCTTTGAGAGTTGGTTTGGATCAGTCACGTAGGGAGTGTTGTAGGCTGTCTGGTTGGCTTTGTCAGGATTCTAACAACTAATAGCTTGAGAATGTTGGGATACTGCTCTAAAACACTCTCAGTGGTGCGGATGTACTCATTCTTTGTGATCTTTGATATCCATTAAGTCCTCAAGCTTTCCCATATAACTATTTTACCTCCCGCAGATTTTTGTCCATTGTAGTTGTTTGGAATTTTGGTTTTTCTTTTTCCTACCTTTATGTTCTACATGAATTCTAAAAACTTGAGCTGCTGAACTTCCGTGTGAAGTACCATGTGAAACCTTTTCAGTTGCTGAGTTAGTCAAGGTTAAAATTCATTAAGGGGAATTCGTGTGTAGATTTTAATTTTCCACTCTCATTATTTTGACATATATTTTATTTGTTATTGCATTGAGTTGAGAGCTTTTATGATCCTTAGATATTATCCGAGGGGTAAGAGTCTGAATTATTGCTGCAGAGATAGGCTCGTGGAACAGGTTTTCTAAGCAGTATGTCATTCACACTATCAATGTATTAAAACTTTCTATAAAACGTTATAGCTTTTTATGAGTGAACTAAAGTTATAAACACTCAACAGCTCAATAACTTATTCATGTAATCACACTTATTTAGAAATCCAGTCGAAATAAAAGTAGTCACTTTACAAATGTCATGAACTATGGTAATGTAGTTCCGTGGATAGATATATCATACAATGAACGAGTATTATTTACTGCATAACATTTCGAATTTAATTCGGTGTTTATAGTCAAATTAAGATATCCTCGTAAACTTAAAGTCCGGTTTCCAAAGTTCTAGTTCGCCTCATTACTTTGTCACCGGAACGTATAGTCAATAAAAGAATGGCTACTCAAGTATTGGTTTGTCAGGACTTGATTGATTGGTCACAGGATTTCATCATGGCTGACATCGGTTAGAGAGCAGCTGTTTCCGCTGTCCTAGTTTGGGACTCTCCAGCAGTACGCACCCACCACCGGGGTTCGAACTCAATACTGGATATCAACGAGATGCTCACTGGCGACTGGCCCTATTCAGATAGGTAGTTATCTGGGTTTTAATGGGAAGTCGTGACCAGTAAGGTGTAGAAGGTCGGGTGTGAGGACAAATAATTGTCGAAGACACTGCTAATGGTTGCGCTATGTCGTGAATTGGCAGAAGTTAGAATTCATGCACTGGCCATTGGATCAGGTCACAGTAGCTTAATGATCACTAACCTTGTAACCAAACTGGATAAGTACCCTTTTGATGTCACCTCTAACTGCGTTTGTGAATTTACGTGCACTTGCAGGAGCAAGTACATTGGAAGGACAGAAACAAGGGCTTCTATCCGGTTTTCTGAACATATTCCAAGAAACCTGTGCCTGAAAGGAAGCAAATATTCTCAGAGTGCAATTACCAGACATATTGTTGATACCGGACATCATCTCGTAGAGATTTCTAAGTCCTTCAAAATATTAAATAAACAAAGGACAGCAAATTTACTACGATTTGCCGAAGCGATCACAATCAAACGATTTGAACCAGACTTATGCTTACAGAAAGAGAGTGTGATTAACCTGTCACTCCCTTGGTAACTGAATTTTGATTTTGATTACATTAATTAGTCATCTAATTCAGTGATCTCAAACTCACTGAACAAGTCTTAATCTCATAAACCGTAATCGCTTTTGTTTTTTGAGTTGCTATGTGAACCTACTAGCTAACACTGTTCTGTCAATTAACTTTTTCTGTCTTACCCCTGCCAACTCTTTTCAACTTTAAAAGCGTATAAATTGATGATGAAAAATTAAACTAAATAATTGTAATGCTTTCATTTTGGATGTGTATCTCTTCTCTGCTACCACTCAAACATTAAAATATGTTATTATCAACTGTAAAACCATTGAAATTTCAGGTAGTCTGCAACTGATGAGAACCTGTGAAATAGAATGACGATATCATCTTATACTGCAAATTTCGTCTTTCTTTCTTTATCGGAAAAGGGAACCAAATGTATGAAGATTCTTATTTTACTACTATTTTATTCCTTTTTGTGCCTAGTGGAACATAGGGCTACAAGCTTGAGCTATAGAGTTTCGGTAACGGTGGTTCACTTTTTACGGAGTGGGGTTGCTAACCTCATAATAACCAACTTTCCCACTTTACTGATTAGCGAGGTTTATGAGTTCGCTGGTAGAGTATCGAATCCCGTAAACATCCACATGAGGCGTGGTTGGTGAGCGTTCTACCACTGAACCACCGATGCATATGTCTAGACTAGTAAAAGCATAATACACTTCTGCAAGAATCTGCTGGAGATTACGAAATTCCGTGGATTACAATTATTCAGGGTTGTTTATATGAATACTGAAGTTCACATGTTCAAAACCACCAATAGGATATCGATTTATTATTAAATGTAATTAGAGTTTTTCTCATTTATCAATGGAAATCAAATAGAAAAAGGAAGTGGACAGATATTTTCAGTCATTTACTCACTGACAAAACTATGTGCCACAGGATACCTTTAGTCCATCGATCTAAGGGTATCCTGACCCTAACCCTAGCCATCGCATTCCTCGACAGTGGGCAATGTTAGCTGATATAGGGTCAGGCTGGAAAAGAGCTAGCGGAGGTCAAACCAAAACATGGCACCAGTCAATGAAATCTACAACAGTTAGTTTAATTCAATCACGTAGGAAGGTGTAGACTTTCCGGCTGGTTGGGTTCCTCGGGACGGTAAAAACCAATGGCTGGAAACGATTGGTGATATGGCTCAAAATCGTTTTCAATGGCTGGTGCAGATGCATCCACTCCTTGTGACTTATGATTTCCAATGAAACTATATTGTTCTTCGTTATTACTATTCCTTTGTCTCACACCTCTATTTACTGTCTCTATTATGCTTTTCTTCTACTTTCTTCTCTTGCTTTGTGTGCTACAAGGAGGGAGTGTGGCGACTTGAACTGGTGCACATTAGTGCAAAGTTCTGTGTCGAAAACAGACAGACAGTCCATCGATCTGAGTAGACAAGAGGACCAAATAAGTTTTTTTAAGAAAACAACAGTTTTCCTTACACCAAAGAAGCTATTTATTCACTTACGACCTCATTCCACCATAAAAAGTCCAAGGCATGAAAGTACCTCTACTAGATGAACGCACCTCTCTCCCTAACCGCTTTGTCATCTTTCAACCCCCCCCTCCCCCCCGGCCAACCCAAATTTCTCTTCTATCTTCCATATAATTATAATAACAATAATGTTGAAATAATACAAGTGCTATTTAAAATATTAAGTATAAAGCAAACAAAATGATGAGTGGTTTCAACAAGCAAATTATTAAAACAATAAAATAAAATCATTACACAAAGTTTCACTACTTATTAGTAGTAGTAGTAGTACTAATAGTCGTTGTTGTTGTTGTTGCAATAACAGTAATGATGAATATAATAATAATCCTCCAGTCAAGAAGAACAAAGATAATTACCAGTCATCAAGAAGTACACAACACTTACCATTACACATTTATACAAACAAACAGAACAGAACAGAAGAAAAATAGAAGACAACATCAAAAGATCATACGTCAAAATGGTTTTTCCTTTACTTCTGTACATGTATAGAAAACCAGACAGACAAACAGCTAGTCAAAAAAAAAGAAGAGTAAATTATCAATACGAACTATTATTGTTCAATGTTCACGTACAACAACAACAACAGATAAATGCGCTAAATTTAAACATACACTTTATGGTATAATTATTCAGTGATAAAGAAGAAGAAGACAAGTAGATTTATAATTTTTCTTTTTTTAAAAAACGGGAAAAATTCAAAAATTCACATAATTATTATTAAATTAACTAAAATATTTGTGCAGATATTATTTATATTTATGTAAATGTATAAATGCAGTAAGTAGTATGAGGTAGGATTCATCAAAACAAAAGACAAACATATTCTGAAGAGAATTTAAGTGTATCTCTCTATATCTATCTATGTGAAGTTGTAGAACTTCTGAGAAGTCGACACACTAGACACTCATTTCTGACGCAACTTTAAGACAAAAAGACGACAAGCGTAAAAAAAGTGAGATTGCGAAAGCCATATTGGACACCAAGAGAAGCCGAAGAAGAAGAAGAAGAAGACGAATAAAGGAAACGATCACGGTTTCTAATAAATTGTCTTTTGATTTTATCAAAATAAAAAATATTTATCTAAAAAAAACAACGAAGATGAAAGAAAGAAAAATGATTTGAAGTGTGGTATTTGAATTGTGCGCTTTATGCCACACAAACACGCACACACACACACACCCATCCACCCAATGACATATTATGTGTCATAACACATAAGGATATCTGCATCGATTGGGTGTATCTCAACAATAATTGTGGAATGTTTATACTAACTGTTGGCCTAACAACACGCATCACCACCTCATATATTCATTATTGGTATTGGGCTAATGTAGTGTAGAATTCTTGTTAACTGTATTGCCATTACTTAAAAGATCAAGATAGGCTGGAATAATTTCTGCATAGTATTTACTTTCTTTTAAATAACGTAATATATTCGGAGGTAATGGTAACAGATCAATATGATCATGTCGTACATGCAGTAACAGTTCAAAACGACATAAATGAAGCAATGATGGAACAATAAGAAAACGTGATAATGGATGTAATAAAGAAGCTTTTATATGTGTAGAGGTAGAACGACGTGTGGATTCTAAAAGATGTGATGAATTAGTTAGCTGTTGAGGTTGTTGTTGTTGTTGTGGTTGTTGATTGTTCGACTGATTTTGTAATAATTGTATACCGTTATTAACACTGTTAGATGGTGATGAATCATTAAGCATAGGTAGAAAATGCATACGATCTTGAATAGATTCAGCCATTACACGTTCAATACACTCAGCTACACTTGATGAGGCATTATTATTATTATTATTGCCGTTCAAATCATTTGATATTGCCAGACTGAATTTACCTGTGAGGATTGTTAAATTCATAAGGTTAATCCAGTATAAACATACAGCTAAATACAAATAAGCACATAAAACATACACAACAGCACGAATTTGAATCTTCAACGGTCTGTGGACATTCGCAAGGTGTGTACAAATCCAGACAAAAATCAATAGATCGTATGAAATTAAAGGTTATGCAACTACTAAATTCTATGGTTAATGCTAAAACCTTTATTGAAAAAAAAAACATTACCAACAAGCCTAATTTGGAATTTACTAGATTCCTTTAATTGAATTTTAGATTTTCCCGTCGATTGATTTGACCGAAGTGCTCGGTCTCAAGTTGACATGTGGGCTTCTTGTGCAGATGCTTCGACGATGTCCGGACATTTGATTAGAATTTAACTGGTGGATGGTGACTAGCAGTGGTGGAATCCAGGATGCGCATTTCATCCGATTTGGGACTTGTCAGCTGGATGTACTTGCTAGTCACCATCCACCAATTAAATTCTAATCAAACGCCCAGACATCGTCGAAGCATCTGCACAAGGAGCCAACATGTTAACTTGAGACCGAGCACTTAGGTCCGATCAATCGACGGGAAAATCTAAAATTAAATTAACATGACCCGTTGCGCAAGAGGTGGCTCTCGTAGCCCAAGTGGTCTAATGGATAACGCTTTGGCGTTCGAAACTATGGGCACTGGGTTCGAGCCTCGGTGGGAACATCATCACTCCCTGGTAAATACAGGTACATCCAGTCGACGAGTCCCAAATGGGACGAAATGCGCATCCCTGATTCCACTGCTAGTCACCATCCAACAATTAAATTCTAATAGATTCCTTACTGGAAGCAGTCTATGAGGGGAACCGATTTAAAGTGGAACTTTATTGATGAATGTGTTTTGAACCACGAGTGTTATCTTTTATTAGATGGTTGGAGGTAATTGGCAGGAATCCCTGTGGTACTGGCTGCCAGAAAGGAGTATCTGTAGTCTTGAAGGCAATTCGAACCCGTGTCACTCATTATTGTAATCAGAGACGTTATCACTGTGAGTTATTCGGACTCGCGATTGACCTCCTATAGGACTGTATCAGATGCTTTGATTGAACACTAGACAGTAGGTAACTTGTGTTATTTGTTTAGTCTTTTGTCTGGTGCGGACTGGATTCTATCAGTCGAGTTTGAAATGTCACCACCGTGCTAGGTGGCTCATTATTACAGTGCATTCAGAAACAGGTTCGAATATTAGTGGGGATATGAATTCCTTGAAGGTTGCAGATACGCCTTTCTGATAGGCAGTGTCAAAAAGCACGAAACCTAGGTCCAAGGCTTCCTGTCCAATACCTCCAACCATTTAATTATAATAATTCAGAATACACCGTAGAGGTGAGCCACATTACAAAATTGATTGACGGGATTCAATCTGCATCAAACAAAGAACTAAACACGCATGACACTAGTTACTTATTACCTATTATTGTGGTGATAGCTGGCTGCGAACAAGCCAAAATTGTAAACTACAATTTACGTCAGTGTTACGTCCTGAATCAGGGTCATGAGGAAAACGATAACAAAACTTAACCTTGAGGAACTCACCAACCAATCACAGCAGACTTAACGTGCGCAAAGGCGATTTGCAGATATATGGCTTAACTTTCTAAGAAACGGTCACAAGCAGTACAGAATAACCTTCAGCGAGAAAACAACCATTCAGAAGACGTTGCTTCTCTGCTAATAATAATAACGCTAGTAATAATGTACATAAAAATCTATAAATATCTTTTGATTTTCTCAGTAAACGATCTGTTGTCTGGCTCTTTTCTTCTGTCGTTAAGGTATTCAATGAAAGAATTTCAGCTTATCAACATTCCTTACTTAGTGGATTCCACTGCTAGTCACTATTCACCAAATAACAATCTATTAGTCTTCAGAAATCGTCAAAGCGTCCGTACCAAGAGTCGATATGTTAAAAGAAAAGGGAAACTTCCGTTCAATATAAGCCAATCCAATGGGAAATACGAATTAACTTAAACAAATAATGCTTTAGTTGAACAAAAAAAGAACAATCATAATGACACGATAATAGGAACTCGTTTATATTTTTCGAATTCTTGTCAACTGTAAACACCCCAAATAGTATCATTCATTCTGTTCTTGTTCCTACATAAAATCTGAACTCTCCTGCTCTCACCTCTTGTCTAATTAGACTAATAAATATTGGTAGAAGTCAGAATTCACGGGTCATTGAGTGAGATTCCTACGGCTGTGAATGGTCTACGAGATTCTCTTGTAACCGTTAGGTCCTGGATTCGTAACCCGGTGGGTGTTTACTGACAGCGAGCCCTGAACTAGAACGAAACAGCTTTCCAGTACTCCCTGGTTTCCAGTTAACTCTCTGACTGACATTAATTTCTTGATCAAACTTGTAACATATCAAATTCCTACAAACTACACCACTGAATAATTTGTCTACTTACATCATTTCAGAAATATGTTGCTTACATTTTCTATGCATAACTCGACGTCAGTGTGATAAAAGTATGTTGAGACAGACCTTTTTATAAATTATATTTTGATATTGTTTAAGTTTTATGCAGTTGAAAAGAATCCACAAAATAAAAAGAGGCTCATGTTATCCTGAAGAGATATTTTCGTTCTTCCTTTGTTTAAACTAATCAAGGGAATCAGTTTGCATCTAATAATGCTTTACTTAGCTTAAACAAAAAAAATACTCTCTTTTCATCACTTAAAACGATACAAAATAATACTAGTAACTTTCCTATTAAAGTATCGGATATACACTTCATCTTTAAGTAAGGAACAGTTCTAAACCATAAACCGAAGCAATCTCTAAAGCTGTACACATCCAGTAAACATGCAATAATAATAAACGTCATCTTAATTCTGTTACATTTCCTTTATTACGCATATCATATAGTGAAAGAGGATTATTCACTGAATGATGTTTAAAGTTAAATATTTATTCTGACTTGACAACTGTGAAACCTAGATTTCAGATAGACTTCTGCCGCATTCATCCATCTTTATTCGGTACAAAAAGTCCTATTACCTCTCATATAATAAGTATTTTAGTCTTTAGCTCATTTGCATACAAAAGTTTAAGGGTTACACTTTTTAAGTGTTGCCTTGTAGGAATTTGGTTGGTTACAGGATTTCATCATGAGCTGACATCAGATAGAGAACCATTAGTAAACCTGGGAGTACCGGAGAGTTGTTTCGTCCCAGTTTGGGGCTCTTCAACAATACGCACTCGTCGAAGTTCGAACCCAGGACCTTCTGGTTACAAGGTGAGCTTGTAGACCATTCAGCCACTGGGACCCGATCCAATGGCCAGTGCATCAATTCTAACTTCTGTCAACTCATGACATAGCGCGACCCCTAGCCAATGTCTTCGGCAAGTATTTGTCCTCATACCCGACCTGCTGCACTCTACTGGTCACGACTTCTAACTAGAACTCCAGGTAATTACCTACCTTTTCTTTGTAAATGACTTATCAACGCAATAAAAATTTTCCAACTGCAATCTTCGTCTTCTAAAGAAAACTAACTTCAGCAATTATAAATCTAATAAAAAAAAAATAACTGATTCTTTGCATTTCTTTCCAACAGTATAATTCGTCACAGTACAAAGTTGACTACAGTTCTGTTATCTACTCTTTCCTTGTATGTCTAACATTGATGAATATCCTTCAAATATTTACTGGTAGATAGTACAGATATCGGTGGTGAACAAGACTTGAGTGGATGGTGATTCAGTTCTATGCTTTCCGTATTATCAGCGATACTGTGATGATAAAGAGTACATCGAATATCTTCTATCTTGGCATCAGTGTTTCCTCGAATCTTTATTGGATGTCTCATATCTTTTTCATGATTACTAAGAATTATTTTCGTTTGACTTATTACATAACGAAGTTAGCATTTTCTGGTATAACTTAACTAACCTCTTATCTTGCATTATTTTAATTCGTCTATTCTGTCCATTCTTCTTTACTATTCCCTTTATTCTTCCTTGGGCTTCTCAAAAAAAGACTGTCATATTACATCGAAAATCAAAGGCTGTAAGCGAGGTTAGTGGTGTGTGTGCGCGCCTTTGACTCAACTAACTGACATTATTCTTGTTGATAGGCATTTTGATTCTTGCAAACTGTTGGCTAGCTAAAGTCATCTTGTGGATTCCACTGCCAGTCACCATCCACCAATTAACTTCTAGTTCCATGCTTTACGAAGTTTGTGGGCTGTTGTTACTTCCCGGCCACTGGTCACATACGGCCTGTATGGATTGGTTTCTGGGATTGGTTCCGTATTAGTAAACTTACCATCGGTTATGGACTACATAGGGTAAGTCGGGATGTACACTTTTTGGGGTCGAACTTTTCTTACCCTCTCTCTCCAGAGTGGAGAGACAGAATAGCTGGCATGCTGGTCATCTGAGGGAAACACCTCACTGTTGTTACACCCCTGTTCCCCAGCAGTACAACTTCGGCCTCAGACCCCCAGCATAGTATAAGAAGGATTCTTACACTAAGCCGGTAACTGCTTTTAGTCTAATCGCTATCCTAACAAGCTTCTTGGCATGGTAGGACCTGCAGGAACATTGGTTCCAGCCAGTGCAGCTTGTTAGGTCATTGCGATGTGCAACCCCGACCACCACATCAAGGTATCAGCTGTCGGTCGGGAGTTCCATGCTCAGATATCGTCGAAGCATTCGCACAAGGAGCCAACATGTTAACTTGAGACCGAGCACTTCGGTCCAATCAATCGACGGGATAATCTAAAATTGAATTAAATATAGCGACTATACACTATAAGTTAGTTTTCAGAAATCAAGGAAATAAAAAGTTTTGCAAGTTAATCAGTCATCAGTTAAACTATGACATACTCTGATAAAATAGAGATTATTCGAAGCAATTAATAACTTATATTATCAAAGTTCTTACCAGCTAGATGTTCTATTCTCGTATGATAAGTTTGACCACCGGCACGGAAACTAACGCTCAGCATATATGAATCATGACTACTGTCACGTACAAGAAAAGTACCGTTCGAACAATTTTTTAAAAGTAATTCAGCTTCCTCCACTGATAGTGGACCCCAGTACCAACCAGTCTTATGATTAAAAAAAAAAGAAAATCAATATTACCATATAATGATATTTTGTAAAATGTGATGTAAATAATTTATCCATTGACTTACTCATACTACTTACAAGATATGAATAGTATGTGAACGACCGGCAGAAAAATATCGAATGTTGCAAGTCGATATGGAGGCAGTTGGATCACGAGTAGAGAAACTTTGTTGTTACGATTGAGCATACCAAATATTTTGGATCCGAATATATTTAGTATTCCGAAAAGAAATTGTGGTGAATTTTTCAACTTTGAAGTGTGTAATTCACAAAAATGTGTAGTTTGTTTCCAATTTCTTAAAAAAAACCATCCTATGTCCTGTTTTCGAAGCCAAAATGCTAATTTTTTTGCAGTGATAAAATCAGCGAGTCAAAGCGGAATGAACGTACGATTTAAAAATAAAATTTAATGCAGCTAGTACCTCAGCCTTTCGAAATGCAAACGATCATGAAGATAATGAGACGCATATTTCGTCTGTGAATGAATTCCAACTGTCAAGCAAATAAAACTGCATACGAAACATGTTACTTGCGCAATCTTCGCCAAATATCACACACACACACACACGTGTATATATATATATATATATCCTGAAAATATCAAACACCTGTTATTTTGCTAATTTTTCTCTTCTGTTCATTACTCAGTAGGCGAAAATGTTTGTTTTTGGTGCCATTAATAGTCAGTTTGTAACAAATTCCAAGAACATTTCATCAAAGAATAAATAAAACCAATTTTTTAGGAGAAATTATCAATACGATTTAAATCTTTATACGTTTTATATAAAGCAGTACTGGAGGTAGATGATGTCTTAATCTACAAAAGGTATCCAATTAAGAAAACCCGGCCTATATTCTGTCAGTCTGTTTTCAACATAGAAATTTGCACCGATGTGCACCAGTTCAAGTCGCCACACTCCCTCCTTGTAGCACACAAAGCAAGAGAAGAAAGTAGAAGAAAAGCATAATAGAGACAGTAAATAGAGGTGTGAGACAAAGGAATAGTAATAACGAAGAACAATATAGTTTCATTGGAAATCATAAGTCACAAGGGGTGGATGCATTTGCGCCATTGAGAACGATGAGTTTGAGCCATATCACCAATTGTTTCCAGCCACTGGCGTTTACCATCCCAAGGATCCCAACCAGGAAGTCTACACCTTCCTACGTGGCTGACTTAAACTAACTGTTGTGGATTTCATTGACTGGTGCCATGATTTTGTTTGACCTCCGCTAGCTTTTTTCTAACCTGACCCTATGCCAGCTAACATCTCCCATCGGTCGAGGAAGTCGATGGCTAGGCACACATAACACATGTCCTAACCATCTCAGTCAATGTAGCTTCACACCTTCGTCGATTGATTTACCCTCCTTAACTAGAACTCAACCGAAGCCTAACCTCAGTATTGCTTACCCTACTATGCTACTTCACACGGGAGATAGAACGCAGGCATCTATGATCAAAGGCAGCTAGCCAGGCTTTCCATGTCTTCCACTTCTAATGGCCATGTCTCACTCAAGGCCATAAAGGAGGATGGAGCAGACTGATGAGCAGTACACCCGCCCTTTGGTCGATATCAGGATATCACGTCTACGCCAGAGACGGCACAAAATGGCATATGCGAAACGAGCCCTCTGTATCCGTGCTGAGATTTCGTCAGAGATCAACCCGTTGGCGTTGGCTGATAGTACTTCCCAAGTAAGTGAAGCGGTCAACGTGCTCTACCACTTCACTCTCTATTTCTAAACTAGGAGTCAGTGTAGTCCAGTCCTGAAACATCATCTTACATTTGGCGGGAGCGAATCACATGCTAAACATTCGTAGATTGCAGTTCGAGGTGTTCAGAAGACTCTGCATCTTGTCACCGTCCTCGCCTAGGAGGACTATATCGTCTGCATATTCTAAGTCAACGAGATTATTCCCTGATAGCTAGTCAATCCTGAGTCTCTGAAGTGAGTTAGGGTTAAGTCCATTAGTACATCTATGATGAAGTTGAATAGAAAAGGGGATAATGGGTATCCTTGACGGACACCACTAGTCGTCACCACTTCAGATGACAACTCGCCGTAAGCCCTCACCTAGCTGACTCCATGACTTCGAGTAGAGTGCCTTGATCAGTGCAATGTATTTTCTCGGCATTCCCTTTACAGCCAAGCATCGCAAGAGTACCTCTCGGCCGACAGAATCGAATTCCGCCTTTAGGTCAAGAAATATAATGATTGTTGGACGCCTATATTCTAGATCCAGATTATTTATTAAGTATTTTTTTTTGAGACACTCCGAGACAAACATGAAGATGTGTAGAAGCAAACTATTCACATAATCTTTCGTGATAGGATATCAAACTCATTTTCTTTTGGACACGTCAATTTACGAAATGTTATGTAAAATGAATAACTCGATAACGGGTCAAATTCACTGAGTTTCATCGAAAGCTATTTGGGTCATATGTTGGTGATTGAAATATTTTGGATTTCAATTTGGAAATCGTGGTTAAACTTTTCACCTCAGATCGTGTTATATGCAAAGGAAAAATTTCATTCACCGAAAATATCTGACCAAAATTCGGGTGATTTGGAGTTTAGTCACTCTGGACTCATCTGTGATGAGCTCGAAACAAAACGAGAGAATTGGACAGGCTGGATATTATAGAGATTAGATTGTGCAGATGATTTCACATAAATATCTGACACTCTTTTGAGGACAACTATTCACGGTTTCTGAAAGGTTATTATTTTATGTGAAAACTATATGGACTATGAGGTATAAAATACAGAGAATTATGTAACGGAGTTTTCAAAACACACTATCACAACTACAATACATAAAATAACAAAACGCTATAAACGCTACCATCACTAAAGCAAATTATGGCAATACAACAAATAATTAAGTTGGGATCTTCAACATACACACATATATGGTTAATGCATAACTTACACGCTTTAAATGCATCAGATCACTGACAAATTTTCGGTTAATCAGTTCAGGATCATTCTTTGATTTTATCTGTTGACTGCCGCCAGGTGACTTCTTATCAGCATCACTATCAACACCACTAGCAAACGATTTCGACGGTATAACCTTCAATGGCTTTGTTTTATCCCTTTCATTTAATGAACTGTCAATTAATTCTTCACACTGCCTTTCATCAGTCAATAATAAATTGGTTGGAATACATTTATTAGTTGAATAATTACAATCTGTTGAATTTTTCCCAACAACAACAACTAAACTTCTAGTATCATTGCATCTATCCAACCGTTTTGTTGTCGCTGTTCCTGTTGCTGGTGTTGTTGTCGTTGTTGTGAGTGTATTCAAACAGTGTAAAGTAATGACAGGTGATGAACAATCAGTTTGTTCAGATGACGATGATGGTGATGCTTTTTTACTACAAGTTTGAGATTGATTAGGTCTAATCACTTGATCAAGTCGACCAAGAGTAGCGTATTGACTTTCTACTAAGTTTAAATGGAAATTTCTAACTGCTTTCTTCTGCGTACGACAATTTGTACAATCATGGTGATGATGATCATGATGGATATTTTTAGTATGTGATGAACTGTTACAGTGTTGAGGTATATTGTTGTTGTTGTTGATATTGTTGTCGTTATTTTGACCAGTTCTATGGTATAAACGTCGATGATGATAATGGTGATGATGACACGAGTAATAATGATGATAATGCTGTTGATGTGGCGTAAGATGGTGACAATGATGATGATGATGAACAAGAGGATGAGGATAAGGATAACACTGGACGTGATCATCTTCACATTTATTATTATTATTCAACGCAGACGACACTGTACAACAACAGTGATCACAATAGCCAAGACAATTTGTACAAAAACAATCAGACATACACGATGAAGATGGAATCTGACTGTCCAGATGGATATCATTCATTCGAGAAGTGATTGGACAACTATGACTACAAAAACAATTCAAATCATTTTCTATTGAACAAGTGTCGTGTACTTCATCATCAGGGGTTATCAAATCTTTGGAAGACAAAAGTGTACATGAACAAGGATATTTTTGCAGGTGAATGTATTATTCCTTACACAAACATTATTACTACACATATTATTATTATTATTATTTGAATTGGTGGTTAATGTATTATTAAAGAAAATGGGACATTGATCAATTTGACAGAAGCTGGTTAAACTATCGGCTGACTTCTTCTCGTCAGACACTAATGAAGTTGATAAATGAGGATGTGACGGCGTAAAATCGTTGTGTAGCTCCATGCACTTAAAATTATTTATTTGTTCAAAGTCGGATCTGAAATATATAGGCAAAAAGAAAATAGTTACATCAATAAAAGTTCATAAAAAGGCCAAAAGCAAAATAAAAATATAATTGTGAAACTAATAATGATAACATAAATAAGAAAGTCATATACTGTTATACCATGTAAGGAGGGGACATCTGAGACCCTACGTAGTAGGATTCTCAATCAAGCAGGAATCCAGGTGACATTCAAACCTACAAACTCACTCAGAGACAAGCTCTTTAGGCTAAAAGACCCGGTGGACCAAATTAAACAAAATAATATAAATTTACAAAATACCTTGCAATGACTGTGAGGTCAACTACATGGGTCAGACTACGAGATCAGGGTAATAAGACTGTCGGAACTGTAGGATTAATTTTGCCTACAGATTTAGTCCTTCTTCAGTACTGACGACGAAACAGAGTCCTGGCTTAACTATAGTTAAAAAAAAGATTGACTTGACTTCAACTTTATCCTTTTCTAAAATATAAAGCATACAATTACACCAAGAAAAGTATAAAATCCATTGTCACCCAAAAAAAGACAAAAACGTACCGAACAGTATTGAGAGAACGGACAAAATGAACAGTTGACTAATTACATATACTCACACATGACAGTGACAGGTAATAAACAACATTCAAGGTCACATCACGTGGTGCGAGTTACATTAAATTAACCAATAATCGAGACAAAAGGGTCACATAATATCGATTAGCTGTCTATCAAACTATCTATCTATCTATCGCGATTAACAGGATCATAGGAATTTAGCTGAGGTAAGAAAGATTGACCCTGAGAAGATAAGAAATTTAGAAAAAAGCTCAGCCATTCACTGCATGCATTAACATACAACCACACAAAAGGGTAGGTGGAAGAGGGTTAAAATTCTAAGATGTAATCTGTGTAGGCGGAGATGGAGAGAGATTGATTACTAAATTCTGGTTCATTGAGTTTACACCCAACACATGCAACAGAAATGACTCAATGCAAATACCAGAAATATGGAAGATATTATTACCACCAGTCAGTTGAATCAGAAGAGGATGATAAATAATCTTAAATTGTATTCTATTTAAATTCAAGCACATCATAACATTCTGACAAATTACTCATTTTGACTATAAAAACATTCGTTGTATTTCCCATCTGATTGTTATTGATCAATAACACTCATATTATTATTTCTGAATGTACATTATCACATACTGATTTTTATTCAAATATCGGGTCAATTCCACAAATGTATATAAATGAGGGAAAAAAAGTTGTGTGAGTGACTTGATATGATTATGAGCAGCAATAGTTTGTGCTCAAAACGTGGTCATCAGTTAATATTACTGTGAAACACTGTGTGATTTATCAAAATAAAATCTTATCCATAATGGGGTTATACTCCACCACAGTGCTCAAGTTTTATACTTATTTCAAAAGTTCACCTGTATTTAACAGAGTGATATGCACAAAGGGAAAGCCAGCAAATTCCATATTAGTTTGTTCATTATACATATCGCACAGTGAAACAGTATTAGTATTTACTGGATGACGTTTCGAACAAAATTTATTATTGTTCATAATCATTTCATCAATTATAATCACACGACTTTGAAACTCGACTTTTATAGTTTTCTTTGTCTTCTCCTATTTGTCGTCGTAGGGGTAGTAGAATTTTCCAGATATCAGGGACAGGTGATGAATCATTCCTATTACATGTATTTGCAGTTGATTCGATAAACAAAGCTTCTGTTACCAATCTCTCCCTCCACCCAGCTGTGACATTAGATTTTAAAACTGTCATTCTATCCCATCCAGCCTATTGTATGGTTGTGTGCAATTGCATATGGTGGATGCTATAGCTGAACTATTCTCTAGATTTCTTATCTTACTCTGGCCAACTAATCTAGATTTTGCTAAGTTTTTATGTTCAGCTAGTCTGACTATCCCTGTTCTACTAGTTTGACCTATGGATTTGACCTGACAATCATTCCAACAGGGTATTAGATAAAGTAAATCGTTTTGTTTTAAAGGCTTCACAGAACTGATCATTTAACCGATAAAGCTTGTTTCTAATTGAGTTTGTGGTTGGTTTGAATGCCACTTTTATTCTTGCCTTGTTAAGAATTGTGCGTAAGGCTTCCGAGGTTCCTTCCTTGTATCGAATTACTGTTGATGATTTAGATTCCTTATTGTTGGTATCGTTATTTTATTATTATTATCACTATCGCTACTATCATCATTTATTTTTAGATTTCCTTACATATTTTCTGACTAATTTATCCGGATAATTATTAAGTTTCAAGGCTTCTTTTATGTGTATCATTTCTTGTCTTAGATTTTCCTTAGTACTACTTAGTTTTTATGCTCTGTCACTTAAACATTTCACTAACCCTATTTTTACTGACATAGGATGGGATGATCTGAAGTTCAAGTATCTGTTTGAATGTGTGGGTTTTCTGTAAACACTAGTGTTTAACTTCCCATCTTCTTGCCTTTTTACGTTGCAATCTAACATTGGAAGTTCCCCTTCTTGACTTTCCAATTCATAAGTGAATTGAATTTCCTCTACCTTCGAGTTAATGAGTTCGAAAAATCTATCTATATCTTGTGTTCTCAGTACAATGAACGTGTCATCTACATACCATACTTTTGGGGTGGGGGTAAACGCTTCAATCGCTATGTCTTCCCACCTATCCATGAATATATCTGCTACAACTGGGGATATTGGTGATCCCATGACAACTCCCTCAGTTTGTTTGTATATTTTCCCTTGGAATTTAAATACTGTGGAAGACAGGCACAGCTGCACTCCCAGCATTATGTCCTCAAGTGGCACTTTTATCCTAAGTTCGAGCTGTTGGTCAGAAATGAGTTCGTTTCTGACTGCCTCTATAGCCATATTTATTGGTATACGTGTATATAAACTGACAATGTCAAAACTAAATATTTTTCTTCATTATCTAATTTTAAATTATCCAATCTGTGTTTTAGTTCATAAGAATTAGTTAGTCTAGATTTCGAGTGGCCAGCAAAGTATTAAATTGATACAGGCTTATTTCCAGAGTGCAAATCTATGGAATTCAGATCAGTAGTAACATGAATTTGAAGCTCAAAATTCTTATCATATTTCATAATTGGTACAAACATTTATTACGAACATGAAAAGCTTACTAGCTGCTTTCGCATTATGGTGTCAGTGTGGTGTGTACTACTGACAAGATTTATCAGTAGTATAAAAAAGAGACATCATCGGCATAAATTTATCAAATAGCGAAGAGATAGATTTGACGTCAAAGATTCAGCGTTGCGGCTAAACATAGGATACACCAACAGAAGATAAAGGAACAGTACGAAGGACAGAAGTAGTACAACACGGAATATCTGTGCAAATGATGGCTTGCAGATAAGGTGTATATAATTTCGCCATATAAAGATATTCCATTACGAAGTCTCTTGTCTCCTACAGTTACATCAGAAGATTTGTCAATTCTCGCCTATATATTGAAACAAATCACTTAATGAACTGCAGTGTTGCCAGTTCCACAAACACACACTCTGAGAGAAACATGTTCAGGGATGTGTGCGCAACGACCATTCTGCAGCCAGAACTGTAGGTCCACAATTTATACAGGGTTATACGTTTTGTCCTCAATCGATGGTGGATGGAACCACTGACTGGCAGCTTAAAATACTGTATTGTAAACGGTTTTCTAATGTTGACAGGTTGAGTCGTCATTTATTTTGACCACTAAGAAATCCATGCAATCAAACAAAAATCCCTACAAAACCAATACTTGAAAATCCTATACTACATCACATTCACTCTGACAACACTATATGCCTAACCTCATACTCAAACACAAAAGACAGCTTAAACATCTCTTATCAGAGACAACTAACTTTCCCCAAGTATTGTATTTTCGACGGCCTTAAAAAGGGATAGAGAGAAGTATTGTGCAGTACACATCTTTGGTCGACAGCAGGATATCACATCCATGCGACAGATGACGTAGGTCGGCATATGCCACACGAGTATTTTGTATGAGTGCTGAGATTTTGTTGGAAATCAGTCCATCAGGGCTGATGCAGCTTCGCAAACATGTGAGTTGATCCAACCACCTTACCGCCTATTTTTATTCTGGGATTCAGTTCAGATAGGACCTGCAGCAACATCTTACAACTGACGAGGAGAACCACATCTCAAACATACGAAGATTTGTGCTGAAAGTGTTCAGAAGACTCTGTATCTTGTCAGTGTCTTCACCTAAGGAGGACAATGTCAGCTGTGTACTCGAAAACGGCGATATGCTTTCTGGACACTTCCTTCACTGCCACACATCCCCAAGGCACCTCTAGGTCAGGAAATATGGTAAGCCCACTGGATACCACAATTTGTTCTGATCGTCCCAGTATCGAAAGCTATTGGTCGTGATTGGATGAGATTATGCACAAGTGCATACACACATGTCAATCAAATTATAGACTGTATATGATGAACGAGACTTGACTGGGAAATCAAAACAGTAGAGCTTTGCATAAGTTGTTTGGAAATACCTGTTTTCGATGCCCAGTCTGGTAAATATGACAATGAATGCTCAAAGTAAATTAGAATCTAATAACCAAAGAATACTAATAATGTTTGCTTATTTAAGAATAAACGAATTACCAACTGAGTCAAACCGCGTGGTGATTGCCATGGTTGAGTATTAGAATAATACATGATGCAAGAGTGAATGACACCAATAAAAGTAGAATCCTTTTCATTTAATACAATTGTTCAAATTCTGTCTCATTAATCGGCATCATAGAAATTATAATATTTCAAACAGTTGTGTTTAAGAAACTAAGATAGGGAAATATATAACACAGTAAAATGTGTTCAGTATCCTTCCAAAGTTTATACTATAATAAGACCTGATGCCAAATGAGAAACTTCATAACTTCATGGAAAATCAATTCATTCGGTACATTGTATAATTATAAGATCACACATATATAAGATTGCTTCAGATAATTTTGTGTAGTATATAAATAAAACTGAGAATAATATAAGGTTTGATCACGTACTAATCTTTATAAAAAATTATTCTGTCTCCGTCTTAACTGATACACATCAAGAAGTTAAGGTATTCTGGAATAACCCAACCCTTACCCCTACAATTTGTTAACTCTCGCCTATTATTCTCTATTGTCCCCCATTAGTTTTTCCAGGGCTGGCTACTGAAGAAAGACTATATCTTATTACGTAGGATGTTAAAGGTTATCAGCAGGGTAAGCCACAGGGTGCCACTTAACCAGCTTGTTAATATTCTGGTTGACAGGCACTTGGACCCATGCGAAAAATGGGTTAAATCCATTTTATCTAACTCACACCACTCACACTCTTCATTCACAACTCTCCCCTTGTATCTCATCAAGCAGACTGACCAGGAGCCTATATAGGAAACTATATGCTCGCACTAGCAAGTACAAAAACGCAACCATACCCTACTTAGCTCGTGTTCTGTGTGATAAAGAAAGCATTAGGCGTGATACCTATAACTTATTAAATAGTGAGTGGAACAACTGGATCTCGTCTTTCCAACTCATATCATTTATAGGTACAAGGCTTTCTTTCTTTATTTTCGCTTTCTCCCTTTTGTCTTTTTTGTTGTTGTTATGTGCTGCTTTGTTTCTGTCTTCCTTACAAATTCTATTTAAAACATTCTTCTTCGTTCTTTCACACTCTGTATATCTCGACCTTTTTGTTAACGCTTACGCCAGTAAATATGCTAAGCATTTACTTTTCTAACACCTTCAAACACTCTGTTCAATTTTGGCTTTGCTACCAACATGCCACTATGTTGTTGTCAAAACTAACCGAGATTACCCTTAATCTATGTCTGTCTGTCTGTTTTCGACATAGAACTTTGCACAAATGTGCGGAAGTTCAAGTCGCCACACTCCGTGTAGCACACGAAGCAAGAGAAGAAAGTACAAGAAAAGCATAATAGAGACAGTAAACAGAGGTGTGAGACAAAGGTAATAGTAATAACGAAGAACAATATAGTTTCATTGGAAATCATAAGTCACAAGGAGTGGATGCATCTGCACCAGCCATTGAAAACGATTTTGAGCCATATCACCAATCGTTTCCACCCATAGATTTTTACCGTCCCGAGGACCCCAGCCTGGAAGTCTACACCTTCCTACGTGGCTTAGACCAACTGTTGTAGATTTCACTGACTGATGAAGCCATGTTTTGGTTTGACCGCCGCTAGCTCTTTTCCAACCCGACCCTATTTCAGCTAACATTTCTAAAGCTAGTGTTTAGGTCAGTTCTTCTATATGGGTAATAAACTTGGAGTGAGCGTCATGAAAAGCACTTCCGACAGCCTATATTGAAGACTTTTATCTCTCAATACTGAAGATCAGATGACCAGAAAGCGGTAAGGACAAGAAAAGCTGGAAACCAATGAACCAATCAAGAACCTATTGCTCAACAAATATATTTAGAAGAAATAAAGAGATGGATCTGACACACGCTCAGAAGACCGTTGGGTGACTTCGCGCGCACTAGGCCATCTCTCTAATGGAACCCGAGGGTGAAACGACAAGTAGGGCGTCCAAGAGTGACATAGAGGACATTGTGTGAGAAGGAGAGGAAAACCTATGGGCAATCGTTGGGCCAGCTAAAGAAGACTGTAGAGAACAGGTCAAAAAAAAGATGTTCTGTTGAAGCCTTACGTTCCACTCAGGACCCAAGAGAATAATAGTGATATCGGCTTTTATACAACAAGAGTGGCTCATAGGCGAGTACGTCATAACTGCGCTCCTGGTAACTGAGTTCCAATTGACAGCACACGTGAATAATCTTCCAAAGAAATTGGTGATTAAATATGCATATAATGTGAATAAATTGTACACAAATGAACGATACGGCCACTCAGTCAAGCGAACCTCACTGTTAGCATTAACTGAAATTTTTCTTCCAGCCAGAATTATACGGGAATACAATCTTGCGGTTACTCAGATAAGCTGAAACAGTTAGTATATCACAGCTACTCCAACGATTTAAAAGAATTCAAGTATTGGTTTATCGGGATTTGGTTGATTGGTTACAGGATTTCATCATGAGCTGACATTGGTTAGAGAAACATTGGAAAACCTGCATGGAGTACTGGACAGCTGTTTCGTCCTAGTTTGGGACTCTTCACCAGTACGCACCCACCGGGGTTCGAACCCGGAATAGAATATTTTATCTTACAATTACAAGGAAACGACAGTTCGCAAAAGTGTGCATATGGAAAAAAGTGAGTTGATGCTTCAATAGTAGAATGCTCGACAGCCACGAACCAAAAAGATCCAGGTTCTATTCTCTACCGATGCACTTCGCTTAAACCTCATTTAGTTTACAAACTAGTAGTAACTCCGGAAAGGAGAGACTTCAAAAGCTTGAAGTCCTATTTTTCACTAGTAACGCAAGTAAATAGACATTTTTTAACAAAATAATAAATAAAAAAAAAACAATCAACCTACAGAGAAGCATTTCGACTTAAACTAGTCATTCCATTCAACGGTATTCTTTTCTGATTATTGAAATAACCTTCAGAATGTAAATTCGATTTTAATTTATTCAACTTTTGTGTTGGTTGACTTTGTGATCTCATGTGTCCACTTTTTCTTATTCGATGTTGGTGAATACTTGAATAACATTGACTATTATTATTATTACTATTATCGTTATTATTATTATTATTTACTAGTGTAGATGTACAATCAGGTGAAGATACTTGTGAACTGTGTGACCGTTGTATACGCTGAAACCAACTGAATAATTTTATAAAAAGATAATTCCATCGTGAAGTAACAGTTAAACGAGAATATTGTTCTTTATCTAAGTGATTATTTATACGATGATCATCAGTGCTGTTGCTATGGTTACCATTATTATTATTAGTAGTATTATTATTATTGTTAATAATGATATTTCTATTATTTTCTATGCATAATACATCTTCTGAATTGAATTCATTTCGTTTAACTAATGATGTGAATTGATGTGAAGTCTTTTTAGATCTGGTTGGCAATTGTGGTTTAATTGATTCATCACCTACATTAGGACTGAATGACTTTGTCCGATTGTATTGACTACCATTTATCAAGTGATCTGTTCACAATTAGAAAGAAAGAAACAAATAGAATGCAACGTATATGATGATACTAAACTGATTAATCAAAAATATCAAATCACTGATTAAAGGTGTAAATGAAGCAACAAAGAAAAACATTGTTGTTAATACATGTCACACTGTGCTTCTAGAGTATCTAACCACATTTAAATTTGTTTTTGGCGGTAAAATGTCGATTTTTGAAAAATTTAAACAATACTAGTGAAATATACCAATTCAACGTCGAGTGAATTGTGCAAAATTCGGCTTTTTTCTACACTGCAAACAAAAAACATGACTGCTGAATTAAAAGCAGTGACGAATTACTGGTTTCTATCCACAGATGTACGCTTAAAGTTGCTAGTGTGAATCAGCATCACAAGTTGAGTGACTTTTTCGTCAGAAGTACGGAAATTATTGTGATCAGAAAAAGGTTTGGATCGTCCAGCATTGTTAACTGAAACAAAACAGAGCTGTAGGAAATCTAAAGAATGACAGACACTGTAACAACTATTCCATAGCGATACTATATAGCGTAGTAATAGTATTTACAAAAACTGCAGCTCAAAAGCGCTAAATAGCATTATCAGTCAGTTGAGAAACTTATCATTATTTATTTGTTTGTCTTATTCTTTTACTTTTCGAGTGAAACATGTGGGCTTCAAACTTCACCTTAGAAGTTTCAATAGTGGTGATTTTTTATATTTTTACTGGGTGAGGTAGCTAGTCTCACACCCAACCTTTCGTCTTTACCGGCCGCCTAACTACCGGCTTAGCGAGGTTTAGGAGTGTGTCAACTGGGTGTCGAATCCCGGACAACGTGCATGATTGGTGAGAGTTCTATGACTGAACCACCGACGCACAGTCACATAAAAAAGCCCTTCGTAAATTCACCACTTATTCTTATATTAAATTCACCACTATCTATTAAAAATCTTTAATGCCAAAAACATCAGTGATCAGCATCAGTTCAATATTGGTAAACGCAACCGTTGTCAATGATTGTGAAAATTAAACGTTTGTTCATTGGACTTGGTCGCCAATGGCGGGAATGATTCAATCGTGTAAAAGGTGGAAGAAGACGAAAGAATACGAATAAAAGTACAGTACATTCCTTGTAAAATATCTGTTTGTAGCCTCTGTACAGAGACTGTCGGAGAATACAATTTCTTGTTATTCATTGTGTTTTGAAGTTAAAGTCGATATTGTACTGATTATAATTATCGAATCGAGCGTCTTCGGAAATAATAGGAACGTAGAGTTAAGTACCTTGACAACCGTCTTTATCTTAATCCTTCTTAACCTTTGTTCTTATACAAGGTTTTGTATTACAATAAAACATCATCAACTGCTGTCTTCTTATTTAGTACAATATCAACATTTTTTTGTGACAAACTGCTTCTTTTACTTCAAAAAAAAAGAAAATGTAATATGACTCTTAGTTGCTTTAACATAAAGAGAAGATAAGGATACTGTAAAACTTTGTAAATTCAAAGAAGTGATGGAATAATCTTAGTTCCTACCACGTCAATCACTCATTCCCGTTCAAAATTGCTTTCCGCTGAATGTGACATCACTAGGATGCCCATGAACAATCTTTGTGTTAGGCCTATTTGACTTAAACCACCACTTGGATACTTGAGTCAAAATTGAAACATGTAACCTCGAAGTTGGTAGGAAATAATAAATACCACTGAGTTGCCTTTCCGTTATATCAAAACTTTAAACATTTTAATTATGCTATAGCTAATTATTTTCCTATGAGACTCACCGGTGGTTGCGCTATGTATCATCACGAATTAACAGAGGTTAGATTTCGTGGGCTAATAGATCGGGTCACAATCGCTGAATCGTCTACGAGCTCGCCTTGTAACCGGAAGACCCTAGGTCTAGACCCCAGTGAGCGAATTCTGATGGAGAGACCCAGACTAGGACGAGACGGCTGCCCAGTACTCTGGGGTTCTCTAGTGATTGTTTAACCCATATTCAACCTGTGATCATCTTCTTATCAATCCTTCGGTACTTTTCTTAGTGTTTAATTTTTTACTACTTATTGCTAGTAAGTAGTATGAGTTTATATTTTGTTCTCCACATCGTCGCTCGTAGGTTTAATCATTGATTTCCACTGAAATTTACCTAGCTTAACATTCTATTTTAAGTCTGAATTAATTATCTTCATATGGTTAAACAGTATCTTCTGTGGATACTTCCCTTTATGTCGTACCCTCTCTTCAACACTCTCTGTTCAAATACCCTGTTTCTCCGTTTGTACGTTCGCTTGTTGTTGTTGATTACTGACCATGGATTGTTTTATGACACAGCTTTGCTATTTTCTTATAGAAACACAGTGATACTTCTTTTGATGGCATTCAGTCAAGATACTTCACAATTCAAGGTTTGTTAATTTCATTCATTATTCTTATTTGTAAAACAGAACCGTATCTGAGACGAATCCAGTGTTTCCGATTTTTACGTTTAAAACTACAACGTTTAGTTTATTTGGTCGAAAATTCGATTTCAAATTATCCTTCCGTTTCATTTACTGATTTCATCATGAGTTGACATCAATTAGAGAAACATTGGAAAGCCTGGGAGTACCGGACAGCTGTTTTCGCTGTCCTAGTTTGGAACTCTTCACAGCACACACACACACACCACTACTGTTCGAACCCAGGACCTTCTGATCACAAGGAGAGCAGCTCGTAGACCATTAAGCCACTGGGATCCGATCCAATGGCTAGTCCATGAATTCCAACTTCTGTCAATTCAAAGCATAGCGCAACCACTAGCCAATGTTTTCGGTGAGTATTTGTCCTAACACCCGACTTTGTTGCACTCTACTGGTCACGACTTCCCACTAGAACCCCAGGTAACTGCCGGAAGAAATCCACAGCTATGGTAAAAGGAAATACCAGAAAAAGATATCCTATGAAACTTTCGACCAAATCAGACTTCAGTAGACAGTAACATTCTGATAAAAAAAATATTTAAGAGCTGGTTTGTTAAATCTCAAAAGAACACTGAGTTATTTTTGTCCTATGTATACAGATATGTTTGAAGGCATGAATAGTCTGTCAATAAGCAAGGTCTATAGTGTGCATAAATGAAAAGTAGACCACCACCATCCGGAGTCGAAATTACTTTAAGACCCTTTCAACTCAACCTGCATGGAATGAAAGTCATGAAATTGTAATCTCAATGACAAATGACTAATCATAGAAAAAGAGAATCATCATCCTACCGACGTAAGTTAATATGATTAGCTTGTAAACTGTCTATAAAATAAAATGCATGGATTGTGATGCGATCTATATCGGACAAACATCTTGCGAAATCAAAATCAGAAGAAATGAACACCGCAGAGCATCTCTGAGACCACCGAGAAATCCAGTTGAACTAAAAAAGCTTGAAAAATCATCACCCATAGGTCTACACGCTTTAGAATCAGGTCACAAAATTGATTTTGACAATATTGAAATCATCATCCAGAAAAATTTCAGAGATCACAAAGAACGTCTAATACCATCAGAAGCACTTCATATCAAGTGGAATCCAAATTGCCTGAATAGGAATGATGGACTAAAACAGAATCCGACATAGCTACAACAGCTCCCTCCCCCATGAAGTGACAAAATCAACACGAATGTGGTAAGCAAGTTCACTATGTAAGCACACACTACTTTTATAATTTTACACACTGATCAAATCCAACAATCTACACTTGATTTTGTTATCTTTACCAATTGACCAACTTGACAACAAGAAACGAACCCAGACTAACGAACGGTGATCAAGTTAGTAAACTTTGTTTTGATATCACAACAGATATACTACTACCTTTGATATTTAGTTTAGTGATCTTCCTAATTTGGGAATCACCGGCAGTACGCACCCACTCTGATTCGAACGCAGGACCTTGCGGTTACAAGGTAAGCCCGTACACCATTTAGCCACTGGAACCCGATTCAATGGCTCTTGAATTCTAACTTCTACCCATTCGTGATTTAGCGTGACCCCAACCATTGTCGTGATATCTCATTGGACCTCAATGGTCACGACTTCTCACTAGAACTCAGGAAACTCCAACTTGTAGCAAGTCACTAGAGAGCATCAGATTAATTTTCTATAGTTTGCTTTGTAAGGGTTTGTTATGTTTTTACAAGTTGATCACGGATTGATATCAGTTAAGAACCATTGAAAACCAGGGAGTACTGGACAGCTGCTATTTCATCCTAATTTGGGAATCATCGGGATTTGAACCCAGGACCTTGCGGTTATACCATTTAGCCACTGGGACACGATTCAATGGCTCATGAATGGGTAGAAGTTCTCTAACTGATATCAATCCGTGATCAACTCGTAAAAACATAACAAACCCTTACAAAGCAAACTAGAGAAAATCAGTGATCTTCATTGTTATATTTTGACTTTGAATATATCCTTATAAGTTGACCTAAGTAGTCTATTTTCTCACCTCTTAACTCTTTGTTATATATATGCTGAGATTTTGTAAATTCCAGTTTAATAATACTTTGATAAAACTATTAGCAGCATTAAATAGCGAAATGTCAGTAAAAGCAGCAATATCGTTTTGTTTTCATTCATGCATTGGGGAATACAAAAAAACCTTTATTATAGTGAGTTATCCAGGTACACTTACATTAAAGATGAAAATCCCCCTGTCAGACAGTTAGTTATACATTGTAACAAAGTTTTTAAATTATCTAATAACTATTTATATTTAGTCAAATAAACGAACATTTTGAACAAATATGCATTTCATATGGAAGAAAGAAATGAATCTAAAATTCTCAAACAATAAGTTTTAAATATCTCATGCATGATTCATTAGAATAAAAATAGAAGACGAAGAAAAAAAGCCGTAAACTTTGTATAAAATATCTCCTAAAGTGAGATTGAATTGGAAAGATCTTATCCAGATTAACATAATATTCATCCATAGCAAAGTATTAGAGTTTAATGTGAAGCAGAAATCCAT